TAGATTTGCAATGAAATTATACAAATTTCAGATTATTTGGAACAGTTTTCCTCGATGACATTTGGAGTCTTATCCCATGAAGTTTTGGGGCTACACCTCTGTGGGCCCACTCTCCTGGTTCCTGCCCATTTCCTGTCTCTGTGGTTCCTGCCAGTAGATGTTTGACACAGTGCATTCAGTCCATTGTTTCTTCCCAGATTGTCATTGTGTACATGCTTTCTCACGTTTTTCCAGTGTTGCCTTCCTGCATATCATTCATTGCTTGATTAGCTGGCTTCGGATTTTTCTCTGCTCCTTCCCCTGATATTATCTACGTGACCATTTAGACTGTGGTTTTCTTTTCTCGTACACCCGGCCTCCCCTGCCAGGATTACAAAAACCTGATTTTGCAACATCTCACCTGTAAAAATATAACACCCAAGGTTTGGTGGAGTTTGGAGAAATCTGAACTGGCATTGAAATCGCATTATCCACAGTACATGGTAACATACACATAAAAAACGTTGTGTCCAGTGAATGTAATCTGAAGGTTTCACGACGGCACAGACAAATTGTCCTTCAACAGTCAACTTCAGTTTAAGCACTGTGTGTATCCTGATGGACCGTCCTTCAGAAAACAAGCTGTGCTCCTCGCTGACCTCTTTAGAGGAGGCAAGATGAAAATAAAATGGACATTTGTCTGTAAATAATATATTGTATCACATTTAATTATGTAATCTAGACACTCTAGAGATGGGGAAGCAATGTGACCTTTTTACTGTGCCACAATAAACCATGATTTCATTGGCAATTTCATCTTCATGGAGCAACATTTGCAGGGTCTGTGGATGTGCTGATAAATGTGTAGATTCAAAATTCATACTAATGCTCAGTTTCAGGTTACTTCAAAACCTTAGGTCACATTTTCCAATGGTAAATCCTTGATCACCAATTTCTCAATTTTTCATGGATTTAAGGTATAGCTGTGCCTTTAATATTATATATGTCGAAGATTAAATACAATTATTATAGTAAAAAGTCTCTTTTTTGCAAAATTTCTCCAACATACAGTTTCCCATTTACATAGCAATGACAATAAGAGTTCTGCATTTGCCATTGTTTTGTAATCTGTAATTTATTTGATACAGGAATTGAATCAGTTATACCAAAATAAAAGTTCATCATTTGATTTGTCTGTTTCTCTGCAATTGATGCCTCTTTGTTTTGTGAAATATGTGCATGGGTTAGGGTCAGAAGCATCTTTACACTACCATGATTCTGAGCCACTGAGAACCCTTTTTCAAACGAAACTTGTTTTTATTGCGCAATCGCTGCTGTACTCTCTGACATTTTGACAGGAAATGCATGTGGGTGACTTTGGAACATGTTTGTTTTCAGCGGTCAGACAGTCTGAACCTCACAGCAGGAAATGTCTTTGCTGAAATCCAACTAAAACAAATAAGCGGATCAATAATCTTATCAGTCTCTCACAGATTTAATCCTCAGTGTTAATATTCATCCTGTGTTTCTTTGAAATGCGAGTCCAGTTTCCAAAATGTATTAATGTGATTATTTCTATTTGTATACCCTTTAACATTATGACGTTAAATAGGCTATTTCCATGACAACAGCATGAATCATTGTTTACAATAATACAATGAGTAATCCAGCTCCTCTGCCCCACCAATTTAGTCTGTACAGTTTGTAAGTGTAAATATCCTCATTCATTAAACTTTGCTGTGTGAAATACCTCTGAAGTCTGTTTTTAAGCTTTCAATCCTGCAACAAGCCACTGAACATTAATTCTATTTATTTATTCCTGCAATCAGGACAAATCTCTCCCTCCCACGCAGTTCGAAGATGGTTCCTCTGCTGCAGTGTATCAGGTTCCTCTTCTGGCTGCCAGTGATCCGTCTGAATTGTATTTTAAAGTAACATGAGCATTATTGTAACATTAGTATCTTCTCCTTGAAGCCCATTATACAGATTAGAGCGTAGCAGAGATGCAGCAGTCAACAGCATTAATCTTCTTACCTAAAATCCACCTAGGAATACAGATTAAAATGGGCAGACTTTTGTATTCCAGTAT